AACATTGACCGCTGGATCACCTCGATGCATCTGAATTGAAGGCGAGTAAGTGATGCGTCCCAGGAAGGTCGTTGGTCAAAGCCTAGTGGTTTAATGCTTTTCCAGCAACAGTGGCCAAATATTAGCTATATTTTTTGTGCATAGACTATGGTGAAGTAACAACATAACATAACATATGAACCTGTTAATCCTAGTTTTCTACAGATTGCCTTTATGTTTTCAGTCTAATAAATGAGGTAGGAAAACATAGACAAATTGTGGCAGTGCTGATGGAATTGTTGATGTGCTCGTCGTCGATTACTTTCCAAATCCGCATGCTCCTCCACATCCACCCATACCTGAAAATGGTCCCATCAAAGATTTATAAGTCACGCAATAATGGGATATCTTCATCGTTGTTCACCAACTACACGATGTCCGAAAAGTGATGTCATACGCATACTTCAAAAGCGCTCAAAACCACAAAGCTTCACTGCGATTTATACGTGGCAACCCACAACTTCAACGCAATTCTCACATAGAAGACTCGAGTTCTAACAACTTTCATCAATTGTGTGCAATGACCGACTTCAGCTCGTTGGTTCCACTGGATCTCGTTTCTCAAAGTCGCTGCTACCAGCGGAGCAAAATGTAATCACCGAAGACCAGGTTTGTATCTTAGGCTAGGTGTTTGGTTGTTTGGTTCGATTCCCTTATGGATCTCTGCGACCCATAGCGTCGCTTTAGGGTATGAGTGGGCCTTGTGGGCCTCCACTTGCAAACATACGACAGCTATTCCTCAACCTCTTGTGAGAACATTTTACCTCACAAGCTTTTGTGGAGTCCTACTCAAAGTTTTCAGTTGTCACCCTCTTGAGCTATTCGACCATTCCAGCCTCCGAAATCCCCGTCTACATAAAGGGATTTTCTCCTTAAATAGTTTCTAAAACGACAACCGCAAACGATCCCCTCCTACATACTTGTTGAGCCTTGCTCAAGGGCGGTGGCTTCTGTTTGAAAGCAGTAGCAATCTCTCTGGAGCTCTCTCTAGGCTTGTTGTTTTTCAGTGGCGTTTCTTCGCCAATCACTCCACAAGTTATACATATTTTCCTCATCCTAGATTAATCCTTGTGGACTCCGATAGAAAAGAATTCTTTAGAATGAAAATTATGGAGAACAAAAGGGTTGAAGAGTTCAAAGATTGCTTGTAACTGCCCTCCAACATAAAATGACAGATTTAGCAACTTTCATATTTCTTTGAAGTGAGCTCGGAGCAGAAAACACTCCGGCTTATTTTCCATGAAGTCACTTCTCATCCGATCTTTTGGAACTCTGGTTACTCGACAAAAATAAATCTTACCATATCCACCGAAGCCGCCATATCCTATGCCGCCCATGCCATAGCCCATGCCGTATCCGCCGTATCCGCCCATGCCGTAGCCGCCCATGCCGCCATAGCCGCCCATGCCACCGTATCCTCCAAACATTCCGAGTCCACCGAAACCGCATCCCATTCCTTCAATGAAATTTTTTTGCTTTGAAAAGTGAACTACTCTGCACTTCGATTTTTTAATTCAACTGCGAGGACGCATAAACACTGCCTGGCGTGCACAAAAATGACACCTCCTGCTAGCTAGTAATATGCTATGACTATATCTATGCCAGCGAAGTTGGAATGCCCGATCATTTCCCATTCAATAAGTTGCTCACTGCGAACGCGGATTCGGTCCAATACATCTCTTTGTTGCTTCCAAGGTTGAGGTGAACCAGAAATCGCGATATACGGGCTACCATTGCTTATGGGACTTCAATAAAGGCGGGGAGGGAAGAGACGAGACTCACTCCCGTCACACTCATTCATATAACTAAATGAATTACACCTTACGCAAGTTCAAAAGCATTTCAAATGTAGAGCTGTATGAGCACCTTCCACTTACAAGCAGCCTCATCTCGTACGAAATCGTAAGAATGATTTTCACTGGAACATTTTTGCCGACTGAGCTCAAATTTTGCCTCGTATTTGTCTGTATTACTAATTATCTTACCGCTGTGAAACCTATGTTCGCGTCGGGTTTTGCACAGTCGAACTAATGGTCTCTGCGAAAGTATCAGAGGTGATTAGTCGATGAAAAAAATATGCGGGACTGGGAGGTCTGCGACGATTCACTTTAGCCTTTTTGAGCTCGAAGCTTACAAATGACGTGGTATTCTGATGATAGTGCGGGCAGTGAGGGAGAGTCTGGGTTTATGGGGGGGGGGACATCTAAGGTATATTTTCCGCAAGAATTTCACCACTCTGCGCAAAGAAAAAATCGGTAATTTGCGCAATGGGCGAAGCAACTCTTTTCTTGGCTCTCCCTTCTATATCATAATATAAACCCATAGAAGCTTCTGCGCTCCTAAAGTCTTGGAGGAAGTGGGAGGGAAATGAACGGATCAGGTCTTTCTCTTAACCTTAACGTCGGATTTGAAAAGTGAAGTATGGCAAATATCCTTCAAACTCACCAATACCCATTCCACAGCCGAGAAGGAACGAATTTGTTTCGGCCATAAAAACAGCTAGCGAAATCACGTACTGTAGGAACATTACTGAGAGACATTTTGGGTGTTTGGGTTGGTTTATGTAGGGGATCGTCACAAAGCCAACTTGAATCGCCGCTATTACACAAACACCACTCGTTCAATTCATCCGCACATCCACGAGGGTCATTGTTTATTTTCGGTTGACCGGTGTTTTGACAATAGGTTTGGGTACTTGAGGGTTGTGGAAGAACCTCCACCGCAAATTTGCCCACGAAACAGGTAATTGCTTCTTGTGACGGTTTTCAAAAACTAACCTATTTCTACTGTGACTGAAGACGATAGGACGAAGGTATCAAAGCCGTTACACGCTTTCGAGATGTGCGTTCATTTCCCGCTCGGAATCGTAGAAGCATTACAATGAAGAAATTGACCTCACCGTCTTTATTCTTTCGGAGAAGTCTGATACCTAAAGGCACACTGCTCCCTAAACATATGGGGGCCACATAAACATAATGAAAGTGAGGACTCCTGTGCTGACAGTTCTTTCAGCTCCCGCCATGTGCCCCTCACCTGTGCCATCAAACACCACCTACACTGCCCCCGGCGCTTTTTCTCAGGAAAAAATAAACAGTGATGATGTGATCCAAAACCTCGACTACTGAGCTTTTTTAGATCAGAAGTCCATGAAGTTAGAGAGTAAAGGCAGCGATCAGCTTCCCATTCGTAGGCAATTTTCTTCGTAAATAATGAAGATCTATGTTTGGATGAGCGCTTTAAACAAATAACAAAAGAAATTTAGATCGAAAAATAGCCCCAATGATTCACTAACT